CTCACTGTTAGAGTTGATCAATCTTAATAACCTCTAATTGTACTCAACCTGCTATTCATGCCTTTTGTAGTTCCTCAATGACAAATCTTACCTTACCAACTACGGATTTTACCTGCAAGGTACATGAAAGACCACACACATACACACACACGCACGCGGCCGCGCGCAACTGACAGTGCAACATTACAGACAGCCTTCCGCACACCGTTCCATCATTGTTGCATCAACACCGTCGCACTAAACACACATTCTGCTAACCACTTTGTCATTGCATGGTGAACTCCTCCAACGAGTCAGCATTGCATAGCAACCATAGCAACAACTGAATCCACCAATATAAAACCATGCATCCATTTCTATATGTGTGCATAAACAAACGCCTATCACCCGCACATTTTTAACCACAGTTCTTCCGTTTTCTTGTGATAGTGATTCTACGTTTTAGAATTTTACCACCACAACTTAGCATGCGCAATCCAACACATTTGCAGCTTTCCACATTTCTCACTTTTGTGAAACGCCGGCGAGGCATAAAAAGAGGGGAAAATCATCGCATTCTTCGGGACACTTCTCTTCTTCACTCTTATGTATGCGTGAGCGTATGGGAAGACAAAAGCCTGCCCAAGATTTTCGTCGCACATTTTTTCGATTGCACTTTTCATTAACTTTTAACTTTAAATAAACGCTCATTTCCTCTATCTGAGGAACCACAAGCGACAGCATACATTCAAAACGTTACACTTGCATTTACAATACTTTTTTTTCGAAAAATATATAAAGAACAGTTAACTAAACAGAAAAAGAAAATGGACCGATACCGAAACACATGTGCACCCGACGAAGGCAACCGCGGAACTGCCATTCTCGACAATTCAGTCGTCTTGCAAAAATCGAGGACGTATTCCATCGACTTTTGCTGACCTCTGACCCGGTGATGACAGTGCAGAAACAGCTTCCTCAGACCAAGAAAAAGCAATTTCCAGGACCCGTGCAAATGCTGTTGCAATAATCGACAATGCAAGATAACAGGTAGTTGTTAGAGTTAAAAAAAATACTTTGAATCTAGATATCTCATTACACAAGCACACATGTTCGAGAATATACATGAAGAAACTTTGTGCATACATTAGTACAGCGTTCGCCAACGTGCAGCTAGCGAAGCATGAGAGACATATTCCATCGTTTCCATCGCATGCAGCCAGCAAGGCGTGCGTTGGCGAACGCTGCTTGAATAAACATTGTAGTCTATGAATTCAGATATCTCAAATATATAAAATTATATGGCCGGCAAACTTTCACCTTTGATTGATGATAAATGGTACATTTCAGAAAGTAAATTACTTTTTGCTAAAACTTGCTACTTTTCGAGAAACCAGATTATGAAAATCATGGTAATTTTCACTATTTTGGCTAATATTTCGCTTGTATCGACCCAAAAAATTGAGAACTCTTCCTTGAAACTTGCAAATTATTCGACTTAAACGATACACTGCGTTAAAAATGAAGGATTTGTCGTTTGTATGGAAAATAGTACAAAAAACGTAAATTTCAGTTAAATTTTACAATTTTCACTATATTTTTGTTGTTTGAAGACCTAGAGCTTTGAGTTCTTCGGCATTTTTTTTATATTTTTTAATGTTATACAACTTTGCGCAAGACACAAAACCTCTAGCATGTGAGATAACAAAGTTAGTATCGCAGCACCATCTATGCGGATAAATTTGGAACTAATTTCCATTACCAGATGAAGGCGCATGTTAAACCGAGAAACTTTGCCAAAGACACCATTTCAATATAATTCAAACCCAATGCGCTAGAGGTTTTGTCTTGCTAATTACGGTTCCTGGCCCAGTGTGCATTGCTTTTCAATGACGACCGATGACTGTTTCATTGATATATGATTTTGAATCCTCAGTAGACGTGTTTTCTTTATTAAAGGCAAGTGTCACTCGAGCCATAACAGCAATTTATAAAATATCAAACATTTTGAATGGCTGAAGTCTTCCCTTACCCGATGGTGATGTTGATTTGCGTGAGCGAGCCTTGACCTTCTAGAAATCATCAAGAGAAGTCATTGTTTACAAAAGCTGTTATGCCCTAATTCCAGCTCTATCTAGATTTGTGCCGGCCAAATATACAAAAATATTCAAGTTCACCTCAAATCATTCTATTTATGAAGCGATGTAATCACCATGTAAGCCACGTTATTTTTTCCAATATTTATTCACCTTTCCATACGTACCGTTGGATTTGACAAAGAGTCACAAATTATTGCGATATTGTTAAAATTCAAACACTGCTTCTTGATTCTAAAATCGTCCTACGAGGTTCAATTCCGTCCAAATGCATTGAAACGCCATTAGATTTTCTTCGTCCTGCGGATAAACGTAGACTACACGGTACACAGGGGTCTACTCATAAAATGTGTAAACTGTGTTTACACATTTATGTGTAAACCCAGCAAACGTCAATAGAAGTGTATTTTTTACACATTTTTCAAGAACGGTTGTTACAGCAAAATGTGTAAAAAGTAATCATTTCTAGAACTTAAATATAATGGGTGCGCATGGTTTTTTATTGCCTTCGGAATTTTCTTATTTGTGTTAATTATAAAATAAAGATTGCTCGAATACAATAATATTTTATTAAAAAAAGGAATGCCATCAAAACATCAGTACCGGCGCCGGTGTTGTAAGCGTGATTGCCTCTTTCCCCAGCAGGCCTGATTTCAATCCCAGTCGGCACCGCTGGGATGTTCTGAGGCATAACATCTCTGATCACGCCGAGAATCACGCCTTCCTTCGGAAGGGAAGTAAATCCATTGGTTCCCGGTTCATGAGTTGATGGATCGATAGGTAGGATCCAGGTGTGGGAGCTTCTTTCCTGGCGTCAGTAGCATTGGTGCTCAGCACGGAAAACAAATTAAGGAAAAAACAAAAATCAGTATGAAGCAAGCAAGTTTTTCCAAAACTTAACTATGAAAATAGTATAAATCACCTACCTTCTAGTATCTAGTGTCCAGCTTGGACCGTAGTTCCTCCATTTTCCTGTTGTACTTCACTGAAATATAAACAAATTACGTGCGTAAACAAGGCAGGCTACAGCAAAGTTTGAAGTTTTTTTTACTCATTAATGAGTATAAAAATACACATTTTTTGACTGGTACTACATTCTTAAAATGTGTATTTTTTTTACACATTTTAAGATCTCCAAATTTACACATTTTTTGACAGCTGCATATAAATATAAAAAATGTGTATTTTTTTACTCATTTATGTGTTTACGCTGTTTACCGTGTAAGGGGAGTCGCTAGGAGCGCTTCTTTTGTTTTGATTACAATGAGCGTAAATATTCATACAATGCGCTCTAATTGGATTTATGTTGTAGCTAATGAACTAACGGTGAAATCAGTGATATAATTTATCTTTTCTGATCGATAGAACGAAAATTGGCGATTACGACGAAGTAGCGCTCTATCCTATGCTTCTTTCTTTTCTTTCATGAATTCACGATCGTAGTCAAACTATGAAAGAGTCACAATTGAGCTGAACGCAAAATGCAGTTTGTAAGCGTTGAACCGATTATTTCAGCGAAATTTTCCAGTTTTTTTGAGAATTCATCCAGTTTTATCCAGTTTTCCATTATTAATAGCACAATATATAGAAGTATGATTACCAGCAGATAATGATTAACCCTTCTAATGCTTTAAGAAAAAGTTACACATAGTGATACTTTACTACAATCGCAAGTAGCTTTGTCTTGGGTAATCCGAGCTCAAAATCCAAACCCCGCTTTTCCATCCTCAATTAAAAACCATGATACTGAAGTTCACTGTTGGTGCATCTTTAAAAATTAAAACCCAGCAAACACTCATTATGAACCCCTACCGCATCCGAGCATAATCGTTGAATCGATATCAATTTCAACTCTATCCTAAACAAACATCGCATCATCATCGCTCACCTTCGACCGGCTCCATCAGAGAGGTTTTAATCCATCATTCGAAAACACTATACTGTAGGTCAGTTGTGCTTACGAGAGCGGAATTACTTTGTAATGTTTGGACTCTAACGGTAATCGTATGTATGGATGGCCTCTGTGGGTTCGGAAATGCGTACATTTCTGCTTTTGTTTTGATGTTCTTAAACCTGAGATTCAAGAGTAAATTTCCATAACGTCGAAAGTAACAAAGGTAAACAAAGTCGAGCTATCAGTGTCAATCGACGCTCCTGCTATTACACTATATACTGGCCGAATATAGGATCACAACCCATTTTGAAATATATTTACCAGTCAAATTGTTTTTTGACATAATCACCTTCCGATCAAAATATTTTTCAATGTTATCCAAGTCACCCGATTTCTATGGAGATGCCGTTTGTCTTAAGTAACAGCGCTGAGAAATCCGTGAAAAGTGTACGTTGGTCGTTTCGCTTTCTCATTATTAAAGTGTGTTGCTAAGATGTTTTCGGTGGTCCTAAAACGATGAATAGGCTGCACGTAAGGAGATGTGATTGATCATTCTCCCGAATATCCTGGTAAATACACTTTGACTTAAGTAACATTAGGGGGCCACCAAACGACGTACAATAACTGTTGACTCAAAAACCAGTATTTTTATGCATGAAAGTGTGTTTAATTGGAAATAGGAATAACTTTTCGGTCATCAAAACAAAACTTTATTTTTCTCGGATCGATGCAAATGCTACTTTCGACATAATGAAAATATGCTCTTGAGATCATGTTCAGCAAGCGCGCGCACTCGCGGGTCCATAATGATCGTTGGCCATGGTGATGATGCTGCACCGGTGCGTTGTTGTGGTAGGCCCGTAAATACTACTCGAATTAAGATCCATCCATTCCAAACAAAACTGAAAGCCATGGCCCAGCTTCCTTCCAGTCTTTCGCGGATCTTAGAGTAGAACGGTGTAGAATCAGTCGTGAACTTCCTCGAAAAACATAAGTCTCAGTGCGGTCGTATCGTGTGTGTGTGTCGCAATATGTACTTGATCATCTTCACCACAGCGATCGCTGTCCTCGGTGTGATCTGGTACTGGTCCTATCGGCAGCAGTACCGGTTCGCGGACAAATGGCCCTCGGTTCAACCGCGGTATCCTTTACTGGGCAATGCGACGATTATGCTGGGGAAAAACGATGTGGAGCGGTTCGAAGTGATCAAGCGGTTGTTTTCAGAGTCCGATCGAGTCACGACGGCTTGGGCTGGACCGAAAATGCTCTTGATGACCAGCCATCCGGATATTATCCATCAGATCCTGTCCAGTCCGGACTGTCTGGAGAGACCGTTTCTGTATCGATTTGCAGGATTTACCCAGGGAATTTTCACGGCCAAGTGTATGTAGTGATGTTACCTCTGATGGTAAATGTGCATTTTTACTGCAGAGATGACATTTACCACCATGTGATTATGAGAGAGCGAGATAGAAAAAAAGGACATCGTTGATCGTTGATCGTTGATTCTTGTTCTTGCAGTGCCAGTTTGGAAAGATAACCGCAAGCGGCTGAATTCCACCTTCAACCAACGGATTGTGCACGGGTTCGTTCCGTACTTTGTCAAGTGTTGCGAAAAGATGACGGACAGTTTGCTAGAATGTACTGATCGGGAAACGGTCAACATCCAAAAGTATACGGCCGTTTGCGCCCTGGAGATGGCTGCTGGAACAACACTCGGCGGAGATGTACTCCAGCAGGCTGAGGGCAAGCATGAGTTCAAGCGGGGACTTGATTTGTGAGTGATTGGCTGTCAATTATTTGTTATACAATTTTTAAAAACGGACTCGATGATTGAAATGTGTGCGTTTCCGGTTTTTTTTTTCTTCGGTTACAGAGCATTCAATGGAGCCTCCAGAAGAATGATAACCGTGCATTTGTATCCGGATTTCATCTATCAAATGACCTACCACTATAAGGAACTGCAGGAAGGCCGAAGAATAATCTGTGATTTCTTTACAAAGGTACGATTAATGCTGTGGAAATTGAGTTGTTTAACTTCGAAAAATATACCGATTTTTATACATCATCTGATTTTTGATCGTTGACACTAAATCTATTCGTTGACAGCTTGCTCCTATACAAAGTCCCACCAAGGGGCACTAAAATCATAGAGGTAACTCTAAGACTAGAAGGTCCCGTAGAAACGTGCGCAACTTTTTGGCTCAGCTCTGGTACTCTCTTCGATCCCTAACTAATCGATTCACCCCTCGAAACATAAGAAAAACCAATAACCCCTCATTTCATCTGTCAAACTTTCATAGCGAATCAAAACAAACATTGCGTAGTACTAGAATTTCGACTAGAATGGGGTACGTTAATCGTTTGCTTGGGACCAATAGGCTAGTCAAGTAGTGAGCCAATTTAAAATCGTTAGTTTCGTATTGATTGTTGCTAAAATGGTGATTTTTGCTAATGTAATCGTACTCATTTAAAATAGTTGCAGCATACCAAAATTGATGAAATTTTGGATTTCGGTTCCATTTTTAATGCAGATAACGAATAATAAATAACTAAACAACCCAATTGAGAAGCGACTGTGATTGTGAAAAGTATTTTGAAACAATTCTGTTACTAAGAATCCGGTTTTATCGGAAAGGATCCGAGCAGAAGTTAATGGAAATATAGTCGAATTTCGCTCGTTGGGCTACGTTTTAGTTGGGCTCCTGTAAGGTGGGCTGTAGCCTAACGAACGTCATTTCTGACAGTGCTGATTCATTTTCGAGGGGCTCATGTATGAACAAATATCCAATTGGGTTGTTTAGGGGTATTGAGGTAAATATATATTCGTTATCTGCATTAAAAATGGAACCGAAATCCAAAATTTCATCAATTTTGGTACACTGGAACTATTTTAAATAATTACGATTACATTAGCGAAAATCACGATCTTAGCGTCGCTTGGGGTGACTTTGTATGTGAGCGAGCTGTCCACTAATAGATTTGGTGTCAACGATCAAAAATTTAAATCTTGATGAAGATAAGCATCAGAATCTGACGTTGACGTTCTAGTGACTAGTACGGTGGATAATTCACTTGGGCAGGCCATCAAGAATACTGCCGCTGCGCAGCACTCGGATCGGCCCAGTTCCGTCTCCCGTATGTCGCAATGCGATGAAGATTTGATCTACGGAGAGTACAGCAAAAAAAAATTACACGCTGGCGAGGCACATCGGGAAGGGCGCGTATGGGTATTAGACTGAGGGAAAATTTGACTTTTTCGCTCCACAGTGCTTAAATGGTTTCAAATCGGGTCCTGATTAACCTCCCAAAGTTACAACTCATTTGGTTAGAAACAGACTTCACACAAGCCATTTGAAGTTTCCTTTTAATTTACTATTGGAAATCTTAACTTTTTGTGCATTGCCTTCTAGTCTTTTTCCATATTGAGCTGCGAAACAGTTCGATAGCCATTCTTATAGAAAATTTTCTCAGCTACAACTTTGCTCAAGATCGTTTCTATGTTAAACGACACAGGAAAAAGTTATTAATTATTTAAGAGATTGGTAAACTTATGACATGATCAAGCAGCTGCTCTGTAGGCAACACTGTATTTTTTTTTTAATAATCCATTTATTTGTCAAGGCTCAAATGCGTTAGCTTTGCGGAGCCGAATATGTTTTACATTATTGTGTGTGAATATCATTTTCTTACAACTAATGTTAGTAAAACGGGGGCCGATTACTCGCGGTTTACTCGAGATTAGGGATTACATTTATTGATCATTTGGAGGGAGGACAAGGGAAAGCATTTTGAACTAATTTAAAACTTAAACGTAAAGGATGACTAAAACACAAAACATTAAACACATACATCAACAGCTTTAAGAAAGTCGTAAATAAGCTTTATAATGTCGATATCACGGCAAGCCAAGACGTCTCTAATTGGCTTAAAGGGTTGTTTTCCTCGGACCCTAAGGGAATCACACAGAACGGATCTCACCTCATGATGCAAGGAGCTGGACCAAACAACATGCTCGATGTCGTTTAATAACCGTTTCCACAGGTACATAAGTTGCTGTCGGCGAGCGTAATACGGAAGAGGTGGGCGTTTAACGAACAGTAATTGGACATGAGCCTGGACATTACACGAATAAAATCACGACTCATATCCAACCCTTTGAACCAGGGTTTGATCGACACCTGTGGGACAATAGAATGTAGCCATCTTCCCAGATCACCATCATTCCACTTTTGTTGGCAGTTGGCGAGGACTTGCTGACGAAAAATCGTGAAAAAATCGTGGTTGGCGATTTGTCGCTCGTAAATATCGCCTTCCATAGCGCCCACCTTGGCAGGGAGTCCGCTTTCTCATTGCCCGGGATAGAGCAATGAGAAGGGACCCATACCAAGGTGATGATATGCGAGCTGTTTGATAAAGCACTCAATGACGATCGTATTTCCTGCAGGAAATACGCCGACTGCTTCATCGGCCTCATTGAACGCATATCCGTAAAAATGAAATAATGGTCAGGTGGAAGTGAGGCAATACGCTCTAACGTGTACGATATAGCTGCTAGTTCAGCAACGTATATCGAACACGGCTTTTGAAGCTTGTATGAGGCGCTATGAAGATCGTGAATTATTCCAAAACCAGTGGAAGCATTTATCACCGACCCATCTGTGAAAAATCTCTTCTTGGTGGGGACGTGGCGGTATTTGTTCGCAAAAATAGTTGGGACAATCAGGGAACGGTGAGGCTCTGGAATTCCTTGAATCTCCTGCCTCATTGTGAGATCGAATCTCACGGAAGAACAACTGAAATGATGAGAGACAGCGCGATTGGGGTTGAACGAGGAGGGACCGATGTCCAGAGTCATGTACTCGTAGTACAAGCTCATGAATCGTGTTTGAGGATTCCGCTCTAGCAGCTTCTCAAAGTTTTCGATCACCAGCGGGTTCATGACTTCATAGCGGATGAGGAACCGGAACGATAAATCCGCAAAACGATTTGTTAAGGGGAGGACGCAAGAACTTCAAGACTCATGGTATGCGTCGATTGCATACAACCTAGCGCGATTCGAATGCAACGATATTGAATCCTTTGGAGCTTAAATATGTGCGTCCCCGCCGCCGATTGAAAGCAAAAGCTACCGTACTCCAAAATCGAGAGAATGGTGGTCTTGTAGAGTCTTATCAGATCTTCCGAATGGGCTCTCCATGAAGTGCCGGTAATGGAACGAAAGAAATTGATTCGCTGTTGGCATCTCTGCCTCAGATACGCTAAAGCTTCCTAGAAAAAACAACCATTTCTGTTTTCTCCGGAGAGAATTCGATACCCAGATTCATTGCCCAAGTAGACAAATTATCCAAGGTATCTTGCAAAGGTCCTTGCAGGTCCGGTGCTGTTGGTCCAACCACGGAAACCACGCCGTCATCTGCAAGCTGCCTTAGCGTGAAATTTTCGGCCAGACATTCATCAATGTCTTTGGCATAGAAATTGTACAGGAGGGGACTTAAACATGAGCCTTGTGGAAGACCCATGTAGCTGATTCGTGCAATTTCCGTGTTGCCGTTTCTCGGACAACAAATTAAACAGGAAATTGTTGATAATCGGAGAAAGCCCACTCGCATGGAGTTTGTCCGAAAGGATGTCGATGCAAACAGAATCAAACGGCCCCTTTAATGTCCAAGAAAACTGAACTCATCTGCTGTTTTTCAGCATAGGCTAATTGGATTTCAGTTGAAAGCAACGCAAGGCAGTCGTTCGTCCCTTTGCCCCTACGGAATCCAAATTGCGTATCTGAGAGTAAGCCATTCGCCTCGACCCACTTGTCCAGACGAAGAAAAATCATTTTTTCTAACAGCTTCCGAATACACGACAGCATCGCGATGGGACGGTACGAATTATGATCCGACGCGGGTTTACCGGGCTTCTGGATAGCGATAACTCTCACTTGTCTCCAATCATCCGGAACAACGTTGAGCTCAAGGAATTGATTGAACAAGTTCAACAATCGCCTTTTTGTGACTTCTGGGAGGTTCTTGAGCACGTTGAACTTGATTCGATCAATTCCCGGAGCCGAGTTATTGCATGAAAGAAGAGCAATTGAGAATTCTACCATCGAAAACGGGGAGTCCATGTCATCGTTTTCCAGCGGCGGATCGCGAGTGTTGCATCGAACCGGAACCGAATCGGGACAAACCTTACGCGCGAAGTCGAAAATCCACTTGTTAGAGTACTCCTTGTCCGACGATGCCGCGTTACGCATTCTCCTGCCGACATTCCAGAGCGTTTGCATGGAAGTCTCTCGCGATAGCCCTTCGACGAACCGACGCCAGTAACCGCGTTTTTTGGCCCTGACCAAGCTCTTAAACTTTTCCTCTAGCTCCGTATACCGCTCAAAGTATTCGCGGGAACCGTATTTACGAAACTGTTTAAACGCGGTAGACTTCTCGTTATTCACGTCGGTGCATTCCTGGTCCCACCACACAGTGGGAGGACGTTTGCGAATGGTAGTGCCAGGAACAGGCTTCGTTTGTGCTTGAAGCGCGCAATCCACTATGAGCCGCGATAAGAAGGAGTACTCATCCAACGGAGAGAGAACGTCGACCGATTCTGAACCGTCACGGACCGCGTTCGCGTATTCTTCCCAATTGATGTTTCTCGTGAGATCGTACGCGATGTTGATTGGACACTGTGAAGATGAACCGTTGGAAATCGAAATTTTGATGGGCAAATGATCACTACCATAGGGGTCTTGGATTACCACCCACATGCAATCCAATGATAGTGAGTTTGAACAGAGTGACAAGTCTAGTCTGCTCTCTCTTGCTGGAGGTTTGGCTATTCGAGTTACTTCACCGGTGTTTAGAATGGTCATATTGAAATCGTCGCATAGCTCATAGATGATGGTTGAGCGGTTGTCATCGTACAGCTCTCCCCAGCCTGTACCGTGGGAATTAAAATCCCCTAAGATCAACAGCGGCTCAGGTAGCACTGAACAGATGTCAGATAGCGCTCGCCGAGAAACAGCCGTTCTCGGAGGGATGTATAACGAGGCGTTAGGCGAAGGTTTTTCCTCTAATATTCACCTGACATGCGACAATTTCAATACCTGACACTGGAGGAAGGTCGATTCTGTAGAATGAGTGTTGTTTGTTGACCCCTAGGAGCACCCCACCGTACGAATCTGCACGATCGAGACGGATAATGTTGTAGTCGTGAAGAGAAAGGTTAACATCTGGAGAGAGCCATGTTTCGCAGAGAGCAAACGCATCACAGTGTATGTTATGCAGTAAAAATTTGAATATGTCTAGTTTTGGTAAAATACTTGTACAATTCCATTGAAGGAGAGATATCGTATCATTTTTTGGAAAATTATCCATCGAAGGATACGAATGAAGCAAGGAGGGGCCACTTGGAAGCAAATTGCTTCAGAAAAGGTTTCACGATTGGAAGCATCATGTTAATGATGCTCCGTAGAGGGTCAGTGATGTTGAACAGATCGAGAATGCTGTACATAATTCCAGAAAGCGTGAACATGGCGTTCTGCTGTTCTGGTTGCGAAACTGGGACATCTGGGATTTTAGATGTTCCCGGAAGCCCCGGAAATTCTTTGTCATAATCGACAGGCTTAAAACCCGGTGGATTGGGTTTCGGTTTATTTCCGTGACCTCTTGATTTATCCAAGGGGGCTTGGGAGTCAGTTTTTTTTTAGTTTTCTGCGAGTCATTCTTGGATCGCTTCCTTGAAGGACCTTTGAAAACAAAAGGACTTCCGTCATTGCCCTCTGAGTCAGTGTCGTCCTCGTCAACTGGGAGAAGATTGAACGGATTATTGTTAGCTCCGGTGATGGATTACCGGGATGAATTAAAGGTGGATGGTAACTCCAAGGGGCTTGGCCGATGGAACTCCACTTCCTCTGTTGGACACTGGTCACTTGGAGCACCCAATTGGGGGTGAAAAAAAAAACCGCTCCGGCGGAAAAAAAACATCGAAAAAAACTAGATGCTGCGCAACTGAAACCGGGACGTTGTTAACCGACTGAATGCTCAACTAGGAATGAACACTGTATTTTGCAGTGTGACATAGTAGCCATGATTTTTGTGTCCTATTCAACGCCCCAGAAACCTGCCTGTTGCCTGCTGAGCAGTTGATTGAGCATGATCATAAGACATCAGTGCATTGAACCATTGATAACTTTCGATCCTTGCATTTAATCAAAAAGTGGTCTTCAGCAACGTTGTAGTTGGGAAAATTTCCTACAAGTACAGTTGAAAGCTTTTGAAGCAAACCGATATGGTGAATTATTAGATAGACATGAACAAAAATCTTGGTTTTACCATAGTAATTCCCATACAAACTTCAAATGGTTTGTGCCATCTTTGTTTCTCACCAAATGGGTTTAAATTTTGAAAGGTTAGTCAGGATCTGATTTGGAATCGTTTAAGTATTGTGGAGCGAAAATTTCAAATTTTGCATCACTCTAATGGGTATGTGAGGGCTGAGCTGCCGGAAATCGGATAGGTTGCAGGTGATATCGAAGTTCATACTGAAGGAGAAGCTCGTGCACTGGCGTGCACAGGGTGGGGAAATTGCCCCACCTTTTATAAATAAGATTTTTATTTCCACATTTACAAAATTATGATATGAAATAACTTGATTTCTTAATACCTTGATTTGAAGGTTAGGTTAGGTTATCTTTATTAGCGAGACTTTCAGCCAGAGGCTGGTTCATCTCTTCTTTATTGGAAGGTAAAATAATTTCATTTCATAATATAAGGGCACTGAAAACCTTCTATTGCGTCAATTCCTTTGAGATGGTGCCTGAAAATTGCACCACAAAGGTGCATGAAGGGGCAAACTTCAATGAAATGTTTTGGTCAAAAAATTGCACCACAATGGTGCATATAATAAATTCTGGAGTAATTTTTTTTTTTCAAGAAGAGGGTAAATTTAAGGTTGATAAAATCCACCTTCGTGGTGGTAAATCGAAGAAAAAGCTTTTTATTGAATATTTATGGTGTACAAATATCATCAAGATGGTGCATGGAGGGACTTATCAAAATGAATCACTCTGGTGGACATATTGAATCATGCTACAAATTTGGAGGTGCACATTTAACTGAAAATTTCTGGTGGAAAGTTCGCAACACTGTGGTGAATGTAGAAGCAAGGTTTATTCATTTTTCTGGTGCATCATTTGCATCGTTCTGATGAATGTAAGCTTCATTGAAATTTTTTTGAAGAGGTGAGGCCTGAAAATTGCACCACAAAACACTCGAAGGATACTGAAGGGAGGAAAATCGTAGCCTTGATCACCCAGTAGTAAGCCGACTCTGAGACCCAGTTCGACCAGTCTCTTGCTACTTCTGAGTTTTCGGGTTAAGTGTAGAGCATCAGCTGTGAAGATGTTCATGAATATACAATCAAACAGCACGTAATGTAGTGAACAACTTCAATGGCAGTTTTCCAGCAGTGCTCCCATTTTATTTACAACAATCCAATGCCTACGAGATTGTGCCGAATGTATGCCGAATGTGTGTCGATGGATGTGTCCAAGCTGTGCCCAATCTAATTTCGGCACAATGTGCTGAGTGACTTACTTCAGCGATCGGTTTGGATTCGATTATAGTGAGACCTATTCCCCGGTTGCCAGATTGGATAGATTGCGTGCACTTTTGGCGATGGTCAACAAAAAGAAAATGGTTGTCCAGCAGATTGGGACGGTCTTTTTGAATGGTTCGCTCACGGAAGAGATTTTCATGGCGCAGCCCGAGCGACTTGAGAGCGGTGTAGATCTTATGTGCCGTTTGAAAAAGTCCATATACGGCCTTAAGCAGGTTTCCAAGGCATGGAATGATCGGTGCCGAGATTCAGCTATCAAACGGTTCAAGTTCAAGTGCACCCTAGCGCCGCTTTGTGAGCAAATTCTGAACTCGCAACGGTTCATATGATTATTTAGATTTTTGCGGGACTTTCTTATGCAAAATGTCTCTCTAGTTTCGAATTTTTTTAAACCTAAGACCGTCGAGTTTTGAATACAGAGTATATTCCGAATCATGAAAAACTGCTGAATTTTGTTGGCTTTATTTAAACCCGCCCTTCTTTTTCTAGTTACTGATAGAGCGAAAACAATACCTCTTGAACAAAAGCAACAACAACGATACTAACGCCGAAGAGGAATACAACAAACCGAAAATTCTGGTTGATCAACTGCTCGGAGTCAGCCACGACGGAAAACAGTTCAACGATATCCAAATCAGAGACAACGTGTATGCTGTCATAACGGGGGTTAGTTTGTTGACAATCCTCATTTTCCGAATTCTTAACAATTGACTAACGATCTCTCATCCAAGGCAACCGATACGACCAGTTTGGCAACGGCTCACGCCTGTCTGTTCCTTACGTTCTACCCGGAGATCCAAGATCGACTGCACGCTGAAATCGACGAAGTTTTCCCCAGCGACTACAAGGATTACACACCGGAGAACATCAAGAAGCTGATCTTCCTGGATATGTTCATCAACGAAGTCCAACGCCACTGCACGGTGGTGCCCTATGTCGCTCGCGAAAACACCGCCGAAATCGAGATCGATGGCGTCAAGGTGCCGCCGGGCAACATTTTCATCATGAGCCTCTTCGCGATGCACAAGCGGCCGGACATTTGGGGACCGGATGCAGAAAAGTTCGATCCGGAGAATTTCACCGAGGAAAGGATCAAGAACAGACACCCGGCGGCGTTCCTACCGTACAGTGCCGGCAGTAAGAACTGTTTGGGTGGGTTGAGTTCAGTTATTTGGAAGGGGTAATTTACTTTAACGACCTCCAATCTATTTCAGGTTGGCGCTACGCGATCTTCGGCATGAAGCTGATTATGATTCATCTGGTGAGGAATTTTCACTTTAGCTCGCAAATCAAGCACGAAGATATGACATTTAGACATGACCTGACGCTGAAGCTACCGTTCCAACATTTGGTGCAGCTGACGAAGCGAAATCCTCCGAATCTTTCCACTGAGGTAGAATAATGAACAAATGAAATATGCTTGTAATAAAATCACTTGAATATAGGTATAGTTAAGTTTATGCTAGGATAAATCGGATTTCAGGTTTCATTTGTCGTAAAGTGCAGCACCATTTCATTAGCTATTCTATCAATAACTGCACATTTGACCAGGATTTATGAGTTCGGTTTTTTTTTTGCTGACTCTGGTTCAGTGCTGGAAAAATATCAAAAAACCAAATATCACCAAAGATCACAAGATCACGAAAATCATCGTAGATAAAAATCAACAAGCAAACAACTGCGGTGAATATTGCAGCTCGGAATATCAAGCTAACAAAACTCACCAGCTGCAATTCTTACCAAACTGTGGTGAGATTGATTTTCATCTAAGAGAAAGAGGTGACAATTGGCTTCTTCCTCTTTTATTTCTATCTTTATCTCTATGTCTATCTTAAGTGGACCCTACACGACAGTTTGTATTGACAATAATCGTATGTCAATACATTTTATATTGACGTCAATACATCGGTATTGACAATATTTCTGTATTCACATCATCAATATTATTGTCAATACTTGTAAGTATTGACAATATTTCTTACCGTGTGGGGTTCGCTTTACGCACATGAAATCGGCCAATCAGGAGCTGGTTCACGTTTGACAGAAAAGTGGTTCATTTTCGCCCCCGTATTGTCACATTTTCTCTTAGATTTTCATGAATGCAACCGAAGCTTCCATAACCGCTGGCATCAGTCGTGTATGTCATCGGTGAAGAGAAAAAAGATATAGGGGAAACGCTCCTATAGTTGCGATACGTTAGAAGCGTTAGGTTCCTATAGTTGTGTATGGAGTCTCCATACACAACTATAGGAACCTAACGCTTCTAACGTACCGCAACTATAGGAGCGTTTACCCTAGCATTATTATAACTTCTCTTTCTAAGGAAACGAGGTGCAATGGAATCATTTTTGCGTCGATTCAACCCTCAGCTTCAACTTTACACGTTGTGAATAGTCTCGCAATATAAAAGAGGCTTGTAAAATCAATGATATTTTGCTCCAATACCACGCGTGATATTGAGAGCGTATGAGATCGGAAAAAACATCAATTTGCTACTGATTATGCCTTCACTGCTCTGGTTTGTAAAGCAAAATTATATATCAATTAAGAACAGAAATGATACCGACAATCGGTATTTAGTGACTGACTATCAGTTAAGTTGCCATAGAATACTGTTACAGGCATGTCTAAACGCAACACTACACTGCGTACTGCCTCTTTTACACACCACGAAGAGCATTGAGTTGTACGCTCCGTACCAGTGCTCGATTGGCGTTGACGGCACCGTCGAAAAATTTGCTCTTTCAGCAAATATATACAGTTTCTTATGGGAATTTTCGGTGGAGTGAAAGGATAGTACAAAGTCCGCCATGTTTCACGCACAGTCTGACGTTTGCTTATGGATTTTCTCATAGGAGTAAAGAGCTACAGAGTCGCCGTCAACGCCAATAAAAAACACCAAACGCAGCGAACAAGGCACCGGTACCGGTGCCCGTGTATAATTGTTTGCACCGGTGTATGGATCTTCGGCAAGCACCAAAGCCGAGTGTTTCTGACTTCGGGAAACACCGCAGCCGAGTGTTTTCGATTTCGGAAAACACGCTTGGTGCTCGTAGGAATTTTCTTTGGGTGACTTCTGAAAGATTATCGTAGCTTTTATACGCCTTTAGCATCTTCCATTCCTACTAAAGCTGATAGATAAGTGGTCAAAGCAATTCTTCCATAATGCCGATGTCCATGGTACGATTCCAGTCTTGTCACCTTTAAATTTTTTCTGTCAATATTTTTCATAAGGTGAATCTATGAAATTCATTTCGATTTCTTTTGGCGAAAAAGCATTACGCAATCTTATAAAGCTTAAGAGCTCATCTACCAGGATACACAAATACCCACTTCGGAAGAGCGTGTTGCTGTTGCCGTCCTCCCACTGGTATTTCTTGGCTTTATATTAAATAATTTAGCTGATTGATTTAATGTGATTAGAGTCAATCTAATAATCATAAGTTATCTCCAACAAAAACAAACAGCTCAACTGATTGAATAATAGAAGAGGGGGGGGGGGGGGGGGGGGGTTTACATAATATGTAATATATTATATGCTGGTCCACTATTAGATAATAAATAATATATTATATGCTGGTTCACTAGCTCAACCAACTCAACTAACTAACACGAATTTCAGAGGCTCCTAAAATTTCATGCTGGTAGATGCTGACGCCCTGTTTACATTATGCTGACCATTTATAAGTACAGCTTTAGTTCACTAGTATCAGCACACCAGCACAGATGTAAACACCCAAATAGCGGTGGGTGAACAGAACTACTCACCATTCATGTAGGGTAGAACAGCCCGAATTGCACCCCGGGCCAAACGCGCGATTTGATTTTCCATAGCTATTCCACTCTTAATTTTGCCGAAATGCTAGTTCAAGAACTAAACTAGCATTGTGACTTGTCAAATTTATGAATTAAAAACGAAAATGCTATGAAAAATTGCATCGAGCGATTTGCGCGAGGAGCATTTTGGGCTGTTTTCCCCTAAATAAAAACAACGCGCTCAAGAAGGATCGCATTCTACCTTCTACTAGCTCCGTATCAGCCATGGTAGCTGTTATGTTGTTGTTGGATATAAGTTATCATTATTAGATAATATCTATATATCTATATATATAGATATATCTATATATATCTATATATCTATATATATATTATACTCAAATCGTGTGAAAACAATCAGCTCAATTTGTTAACATAAAGCCAAGAAATACCAGTGGGTGGACGGCAACAGAAACACGCTTTTTCGAAGTGGGTGATTTGCGTATTTTTAATAATCCTGGTAGATGATTCTTTGAGCTCATAAGATTAATAAGATTGCGTAATGCTTTTTAACCAAAAGAAATCTAAATGAATTTCATAGATTTACCTTATGAAAATAATGTTGACAAAAAAGTTAAAAAAGGTGGCAGACTGGAATCGAACCATGGACATTGGCATAATGAGACCATTGCTTTGACCACTCGTCTATTAGCTCTAGTCGCGTTAAAGAATTACCTTGTGTAACAAAATAATCTTTCATAAGTCGCCCCAAAGAAAGTTGCTGCGAGCAGCAAGCGTGTTTTCGGAAATCGAAAACACTCGGCTGCGGTGTTTCCCGAAGTCAGAAACACTCGGCTTTAGTGCTTGCCGAAGATCCATACACCGGTGCAAACAATTGGCGTTGACGGCACCGTCGAAAAATTTGCTCTTCCAGCAAATTTAGACACTTTCTTATGGGAATTTTCAGTGGAGTGAAAGGATAGTACAAAGTCCGCCATGTTTCACGCACAGTCTGACGTTTGCTTATGGATTTTCTCATAGGAGTAAAGAGCTACAGAGTCGCCGTCAACGCCAATTATACACGGGCACCTTGTTCGCTGCGTTTGGTGTTTTTTTTATCGAGCACTGGTACGGAGCGTACAACTCAATGCTCTTCGTGGTGTGTAAAAGAGGCAGTACGCAGTGTAGTGTTGCTTTTAGACATGCCTGCTGGTACGACGCGTAAAACCCAATGCTCTTGGTGGTGTGTTTGTAGACAAAACTGCCACCCGTGCAAAAGGGTTCAGTGTTTTTTACCATGGCTGGTCTCTTGTTCCCAGATAAATCCTTACACGTGATAAAGTGTCTGAGTTGACGGTAAATAGGTGCCGCTCATCTGTATCTTCGCTATAAACAGTTATATTAGTGTCAAATAATTCAGAGAGAGCAGACAGAATCTTGAGCGCCGTGTCTTCAAAATTGGATCGATTAATTACACTTTGGCCTAGAATAAATCAGGCAGAAGTTATTAGCAACGGTGCAAAATCTACAGATGATATGATTACCTGAATCTGAGTTCGATTTAAAGTGGGCGTATTTAAGGATCATCGAGTTTAGCGCAGACACTTCTTTTTCACCCGGTGTTATTGCCACCTGATGAAGGAAAGATCGACAAACGGCCAGGTGATCACAAAAAGGCAGGACATTAAGCACATGTCCAGCTGGTGGAATATCAACTGACCCGGCAGAATCTTGGATGTCAATATGAGCACAAAAGACAACGCTGTCGTAGTGAGAGTCAGTATAATAAATAGCGACTTTTTTAGAGGTAGCGGTCCCTACGGAACACTCTCTAAACCGACAGGTGCGTTCTTCCCAGATGGTGATATTGGCGTTGTAGAGTTCACACGCAATGGATACACATTCCTCACCCCCCCCAAGTGCCGTCGTGAGAAAGCAACTCTAAATATTTCCAAACACGGTCGAATACGTCGATGAATCCGTGTTTTATTACATCTTCGGCAAACGGGACTAGATAGACCCAGTATCTGGCAAAATTTCACCGAAGATGTTCAACGGTTGATTCTCGCATCTGCGACACCTTATTTGGAAAAACCGACTCGGCAAAATGAATTCCCAGTATTTGGTGAACGAGGCTACCAAATAGACAATTTCCGTCACCTGGGATGCGTTGTAACCAAACTTCAAACTCGCCGATCCAACAGCACATTAACTGGAAATTCTTCTTTGAAAACATATCTTCAATGTTCTGTATACACCACGCACCGAATAATTTACAATTGATTAAGATTAGGAGCGGTGCGTTGTGCGTGGCAATAATACACTCAAAAAAAAAGAAAGGAAAAAAAAATAAAAAGGATAAAAAGGGGATAAGGAAAGGGGGGGAGGGGAAACGGAAAAAGAAAAGAAAAAAAAAATCACATTTCAAATGGAAAATATCCATTAGCATTTCACATAACTTTCATGTGGTCTTATAATTGGAAATCGCTCCAAAACACAACATGAAATTTATGTGTCCAGTGAAATGTGTGTGATTTATCACATAGAACACATGTAATAATATGAAAGTTATGTGAATGTCAGATAAAAACATTAATTTCAGAATATCATGTGCGTTAACTTTTAATATGTTTGCAGACAGTGATA